TGATTACGGTGAGGGTTTGCCAAGCGTGTCTTCCTCTTAGCACGTTTCTCCCTTTTGTCCTCAGTTCTAGCGTGTTCAAAGCCCATGACACCTTTGGTAAAGGCTGTTCTCCAAATGGAGCGCTCGCAGGCAAGTGTTTCCCAGTTGTCGATGCTTATGTTACATTTTTAAAGATTTGCCTTGAGAGAGTCCTTAAACCTCTTTTGTTGACCACCAGCATTATGATTTCCATTTTTAAGTTTGGAATAGAGTAGTTGCTTTGGAAGACGATACTCAGGCATCCAAACAACATGACCAGTCCAAGATTCCCAAGCCCTCTGCTGTTGCTTTTCTAAAAGTCACTCTGTTTGGATAAGACAGGGCACAGGCCTTGCACTTGGGGCAAGCACAACTCTCTGTGGCTTCCCTATAAGGAGATGGGCATTTCCCAAATCAATTTTTTCTGTGTATCGCCAAAGGCCTTTACAATGGACGACAGGGAATAAAAGGAGACTTTAATCCAAAATCGTAACCTGCAGCAGTTTGCAACATAAAAAGAAATGCACAACATGAAGGCTTAAGTTCGGAGTGCAATCACATAGCTGGAACAGCGTTTCCGGGCTGCCAGCGCAAATGCATTGCTGCCATTTCATGCCCTGCTTTGGCTGCTCACAACAGCCCAGTTGCTTGGACAGAATGTTCCGGGAAACTGTTTGCTAAAAGAAGGAAGTAAAAAAAAAAGATAAAAGAGAGGGGGTTGCTCAGCCACCTCATATTTACAGGTAAAGCAGCCTCGCCTTGAAAACTGTAAGAATGTGACCGTCCTCAAAGTTTTAATACAATCTTTGGCATCATTTTCTACCCCACCCACATGAAACTGTAACCTCTAGGTACAGTTAGAGGGCATGTCTCTGTAATCATGTCAGCTCCAGGTGAGCAGTTTAGAAATGTCAGAGATAAACCGGTTCTTATATTAGGTGGAGCTATTCAAGAGTACCTTGGTAACACCAATAACAAGCCTCTAATTATGATGTTGCTCTAATGCAATGCAATAAAACAAAAACATTACAAGACCTATAAAACTTGGCCTATTATTCTCCTTGCGAGCTGCATATTGTAAAAATAAGAAGCTGTAAGGAAACAGGCTCTTTAGCCTCAGCTTGGTGGCTAGAGCATCTTTTTCTGTGCAGAAGGTCTCAGGTTCAACCTGCAGCATCTGCAGGCAGGCTGGAAGAGAACCTGGTCTGAAATCCTGGACAGATGCTGCCAGTCAGTCAGTACAGACAGCACTGAGCTGAAATCCAGCATCGCCTGAGCTCTGTGAGTGCAGGTTTCTCCCAACTGAAGTGCAGAGTGTTTGAGAACCGGGACATTCGCAGGGAAACCAAAATGCTTGTTCACAAAGCTATTGCACTACCAACCTTGCTGTACGCTTGTGAAACATGGTCCGCTTATAAACACCATCTCCAACTCCTTGAAAGATTCCATTGGCAGTGTCTCCGAAAAATTTTATACATCACTTGGGAAGACACTTGGCGAACTAATGCCAGTGTACTGGAAGAAGCAAATATCACCAGTGTCAAAGCAATAATTCTTCAACATCAAATTTGTTGGACTGGTCATGCTGTTCGGACGCCTGATGATCGTCTTCCAAAGCAACTACTCTATTCCCAACTTAGGAATGGTAAGCATAATGCTGGTGATCAACAAAAGATGTTTAAAGACTCTCTCAAGGCAAATCTTTAAAAAAAGTATAAACACCAACAACTGGGAAATACTGGCCTGCGAGCGCTCCAATTGGAGAACACCTTTTACCAAAGGTGTTATGGGCTTTGAAGACACTCCAACTCAGGACAAAAGGGAGAAACAAGCTAAGAGGAAAGCATGTTTGGCAAACCCTCACCAGGATCAACTCCCGCCTGGAAGCCTATGTCCCCACTGTGGAAGGACGTGTGCATCCACAATTGGTCTCCACAGTCACTTACGGACTCACTTTTAAAACTGTGCTTATGGAAGACAATCTTATTTGGCTACGAGTGATCGCCAAAGAAGAAGTTGGACAATGGCCCAATTCAGTAGAAGGTAGTTTCTTCTGTTGCTGTCTTAACATTCTAAACATGACGCCAATTTTGATTTACGTCCAAGGATCCGCTGAGCCAACAACTTGCCTTTACCTGTCATTAAATAAGGAGAGATTAACAGAGGAAGGAGCCTCCTGATTTTCCAGGGACTGGAATTTACAGAAGCTGTTCCCATTTCTGATTTGATCCAAGAATTTCCTGCTTCTCCTTAGGACATCTCCCTTTTCATCAGAGAACTGTTGGAGGGTATGGAATTGCCCGACCCCTGTACCACCTGAAGGCAGCCCTACGTAGTGAAGTTTTAAAATGTTTTATTTCGTTTTTATATATGTTGGAAGCTTCCCAGCATAGCCGGGGCAACCCAATCAGATGGGTAGCTTATAAATATTATTATTATTACAGTGATATCTCGGTTTTCGAACGTTTCCATTGGCGAACATTTTGGTTTTTGAACACCGTAAACCCAGAAGTAAATGTTTCGGTTTTCAAACATGCCTCGGAAGTTGAACACGCCTCATGGCTTCCACTGAGTGCAATGTCCTGAAGCCTAGCCGTCAGCTGTTGAGTTTTTGGTTTTTGAACGTTTCAGAACACGAATGGTCTTCCGGAATGGATTACGTTCGAAAACGGAGGTACCACTGTATTTTTATTGAATAGAGCACCCCTTTTTTCACTGGAGAAATGTTGGAGGATGTGCATAATCTGGAGAACTATCATGTCCCAGCCCTGTGCTCAAAAAGCATCTAACCTGCACATCTTTGAAGTCTTTGCACAGTAAATACGCCAAACGCCGTACAATTGGCACATTTTTTCAAATCTTAGGAGATGCACTGATATAAATTGTACCTTGCATTAGTGCGCCACATTTAGGCTGTGAACAACGGTTGCTGCTATTTGACAATGCAACCACCAACATCAATTTCCTACTAAGGAGTACCACCAGCAAGGCTCTAGCGAAACCAGAAATGCCACTTCTGGCTTTTGCTCGGAGGCAGAATAGGCATTTGCCATGCAGGGCTTTGTTTTTATTTTCACCACTCCTTTAGGCCAAGAAGGCCTACAGTCAGACTTTCCAGTTAAGACATCTTGGCAGCAGGCCACAAGGAGCTCCAATCTCTCAGCTGCACCAATTTGTCAGTTCTGTAGGCTGGAAAAACATGCCTTTTAAACTGCCATTCCAGGAAGCGCCACAAGGCGGAGGGAACCCCGATCAGTATGCGGTGGTCATGTAAATACGAGTATCAGGAAATGTTCTGCACAGAATTTGAAAGATTCTAAAACCCATGTTCAAAATAACCCTTTAAAAAAAACCAGAAGCTTTTCTTTTGGGAATTATAGGGACAGAACTACCTAAACTGTATGGAAACTTTTATTTATGCGTGCTACTACAGCAGCAAGAATGCTACTGGCCCCAAAATGGAAAGAAGCAGAAGTACCAGCAAAGGAAGAATGGACACAAAAACTTATGGAAGTTTGATTCCCTGAGGAACATGGCCTGATCCAAACAGAGAAAGTACGGTTCCAATAAGCTCCCCGCCACCTATGTTTCCTGATATGACCCAACGAAGGGAGAACAGCATGATCTAAATTGTCCTTCATCGCAAAGTTCCTCCCCACAAAAAAATCCCCACTGAATAGCTTCCCTAAAAGTCAACATTTCACAAAGGGCCATTGTCAAAAGTACAGAAAGGGAGAGATGGATGATGTTTCTTCATGCCAGCGTTGCATATGTCTGGATGAGAACCAAATTTCGACTGGCTAGGAAGCTAAAACATGATTTCAAGGACACAAGCATATAATACAACCTTCTTCGACTGAAGCCATTAGTCCTGTCCATTGCCTCTGCTCTTTCTACCATGCACAAATGCAAATGTATACCTTTGTTGCTGTTCTGGGGCAAGCTCTGCTTCATTTTCTTGAGTGTTGTTTGCTGATCTACAATTCCCAGCATCCCTGACCATTGGCCATGCAGACTGGGGATGATGGGAGTCAGAGACCAAGAGTAGCCTCTGGCTGGCCATAGGTTCCCATGCCCGGTTAAAAGAAAAAGGTGTTTTCTTTAGTTTTCTTTAAAGAAGATTGGGAAACGTTTATTGAATATATGGGAAATAACTGTCTGCAGCTGAAAACGCTGGCAGCATATGGTGCTGCAATTGGATGACGAAGGATTTTTGGCAAAACCAAGACTCAGCAGGTTAGGGCCATAGCTGTCAACTTTTCCCTTTTCTTGCGAGGAATCCTATTCGGAATAAGGGAATTTCCCTTAAAAAGCGGGGAAAGTTGGCAGCTATTGTTAGGGCGCAGAGGGCTAATATTGTGGAGCGACATGAAATGTAGAGTTTAAACTGCTAAACCATCCAGGGGCCCTTAACCCAGTGTTTAGCGCCGCTTTCGAGTTAATTGGACAATGTTGGCTTTGCAGCGAAATCTTGACCCCACAGATATGGGCTGCGAGGCTAAAATTGTGAGAAACCGTAAAACGCAGTGTTTTCACCACCAAACATTGCAGGGAGCCTTTTCTGGGTGTTTGGCGCGGTTTTAAACTGAATCGGACGAAGTCAGATTTTTGGTGAAATCCTGACCCCCGGTGGTTACGGCGCTGAGGGCTCATTTTCTGGGGTGCTGAGCAATGTAGTGTTTTCGCTGCCAAAAGTTGCAGGGAGACTTTTCTGGGTGTTTGGCACCGTTTTGGAGTAGATCGGACATCGGATTATTGGCGAAATCCTGACCAGGGCGCAGAGGGCTCATTTTCTCGGGTGCTGGGAAACATAGTGTTTTCACCGCCAAACGTTGCAGGGAGTCTTTTCTGGGTGTAAATAATAAAATTATCATTATGGAATTGGACGTCTCTATTTTCCTGGGAGAAATGTTGGGAGTTATGCGACCCCCGAGCCCTCTGAAGGCAATATTGTATAGCAAAGTTTATTTATTTAATGTTTTATGATGTTTTTATACATGTGGGAGGCCGCCCTGAGTGACTTAGGCAACCCCATAAGATGTGTGGGATATAATTATCCTTATGGAGTGGGACGTCCCGCTTTTCCTCAGAGAAATGTCGGAGGCTCTGCCTTTCTCCTGCCCTCCCTCGGCCGCCTCGCCCCTTTTAAGGAGCGGGCATGGCGGGTGCGGCTCCCGCGCCCCTTTCCTCCTCCGCCAAAGGCGCCCCGCCAAGCCTCGCTCTCCCTTCCGCGGAAGGAACGAGAAGAGCCCAAGATGGCGGTCGCCTCAGCGGCAGCGATCACCTCCGAGCAGGTCAGTTTCCCGGCGCCGTTCCCTGGCTCCTGCTTCGGGCGGGAAAAGGAGGGAAAGGCGCGCGCTCCATTTTATCGTCCCCAAATATCAACGGGGCGGGGAAGAAAGAGGCGGCTTCGGCTTGAGGTGGCCGGCGCCGAACCGGCCCCTTCGCCTCAGGGCGCGTCGCGGAATTCGCCTCCGAAAATGAGTTTCCTCCCGGGTTATTATTTTTTTCCCGGAAACCGGGCCAATGAAACCGGCGACGGGGGTTAAACCGTGCGTTGTAAAAGCTCCGAAATTATCCTGGTATTATTATTATTATTATTATTATTATTATTATTATTATTATTATTATTATTATTATTATTATTATTATTATTAAATATGGCAACCCGAACGCGGCACCCGGGCTTCTGCCGCAGCCAAGGCGCCTCAGGGAAGCGGCGGAGTCGGGCGCGCCAACCTACGCAGTCCCTTCCCTTTCCCCTTCAGGACATTCGTTGCTCTTTCTTATTTTATTATTTTTATTATTAGCTCATTATTCGTGGCATTTGGCGCCTGGACACGTATCACGTCTGCCTTTCGCCCGGCTTTCTGAAATTAGAACCAGCCCCCTAGTGCGCCCTAGTGCGCGTGAGGCGACTCGCGAGGCTCGTTTGACAGACTCGGCAGGGCGGCGGCGGCTGCTTTCTAAGTCAATGGGCGCCGTAGCAAAAATAGCCGCCTGAGGGCGGAGAAAGAGATAGGGAGCGTCTTGCGCCTGCGCGCAGAGGATCCGACGGAGTCTCGCTTCACCCTCGAGCGAACGCGGAGGAGGCTTGAGGGCGGGGCGACCAATGGCGTGCCAAAGAGCTGTTGGACTACACCTCCCATCTGCCCCAGCCTGCACGGCCATAGGTCAGGAATTATGGGAGTTGTAGTCCACGACAGGACCACGAGTTCCTTAGCCTCGGAGGACTAGGAAGGGGGCAACGCATACGGATTGAAGGGAGACTTCCGGGGAATACGATCAGAGACTTTCAAAGTGGAATGTATAAATTCAGTAGATAATAAAATAATGATAATAAACTTCACTGAAAACGTCTTGATGGCACAGAGCCAAGTACAGTGGTATCTTGGTTTGCATACATCTTGGTTTGCATACAAGCAGGTCAAACCCGGAAGTTCGTGTCCCGGTTTGCAACCTTTTTTTTTTGGATTACAACCCATTTTTTTGGATTACGAATTTTTTTTTTGCGGAGGCTCCATTGGCAAAAGCTCGTCTTGGGTTACAACCGAAACAGATTATGGTTGTACACCAAGGTACCACAGTACAGCAAAGTGCACAACTTTTTGCTTTAAAGACTTTGCTCTCTGGTCCAGGAGCAATTCGGTGTTGTGCAAATCTTGCTTGTGCTTTTAGTATGTGTCTCCCTCTCCCTGCCAAAAAAACCCCCACAAAGGTTTGACTGAGGGCTCCTTCAGATGACCTCTTTATAGAGCACTCATCCAATTTTCTTGCACAAAGCTTGCATGGTATCCGCTCTTTATTGATCATTCGTCCTGATTTGTTCACAGGGAGGTTATTTGCCTTCCCAATCAATCAATCAATTTGTCATCACATTTTTAGTGCATTACTTTCCTAACGGCAAAAAGGCCATTTTTAAAAGAAAGTGGATTTGTTGCAACATAGCCCTTTGGTCCACTTTTATTTCAGAAACCTAAATTTCTGGTGTGTGACTGAATCCCTCTGGCAAAATAGCGACAGCCTGGAGGCTCCTGGCACCATACAATTGGGCTCTCAGTGCCTTCCAGTTCTCAGTTACTATCTCAAACTCCCTCTTACACTTGCTTGAATGTTTGGAACTGAATTGCCTTTATGTACACAGCGGATGTTCGTAGTAGCTAGGAGTTATGCTTAGCTGTTTATGTAGTCATTTTATATGAACAACCTGGCTATATTACATAGAAATTACTGGGTGAAGAGCTACACTGCATATACAGGTACATGCAACAAAACAAGTGTACTCTTATTCCCTCCCCCTTGGAGGTAGCATCCAACATAGGAACGTCACTTGCTGAAGCAGTCCTCTGCTGCAGCTAAATGTAACTGCTTTTGCAGCAAATTCAAACACAGTACATTCTCATGACTTTGCAAATAATATTTTCTTTACAAGTTGGGCTCTTTTAAACAGTTCCTACTGTGGAAATCGTATTGTGGCAGAAATGAAAATTCATATCATTTTGTTATGAATAGGATACGTTGGACTTAGGTAATATATTGTTTGGGGAACTTATTTTTAAATTATTTTTAGCAAAGTTCTAATGGTCCCGTGAAGAAATCGATGCGTGAGAAAGCTGTGGAGCGGAGGAATATTAACAAAGAACACAACAGTAACTTCAAGGCTGGATATATTCCAATTGATGAAGATCGTCTGCACAAAACTGGCTTGCGAGGCCGAAAAGGCAACTTGGCCATTTGTGTGATAGTCCTCCTGTTTATTTTGGCTGTCATCAATTTGATTGTAAGTAGAACAAGCTAATCAAAAGATTGTGGTCGTGCTTATATTGTTAAGTTAGTATTCACTAGACCAACATTGTGAATATATTTGCAGAAGTGGAGCTCCATTGACTTAAATAGGGCCTAACCAACTAGATGCAAGGAACCAAAGCTGTTCTTCGATGCTTCTATTTATCTTTGGCATGGCTTGGTCACTGAATTTGAGAGCAAGCAAACTAGCAGGTCACTGGTTGTTTGGATGGGCAGCTTACATCCAGCTGCAGGTTAAGAAGAGGCTGCAGAGTGAGGTGTATGGGTCAAGAGACCTGGAAAGGAAGAAGATAAAGGAGCCCTAAGTTCTGAAAGAGAAATCACGTGATGGAATGCTGCTGGTTTGACACTTGTATGGCATGTATACATTTCAGTTTACTTGCCACTTGCTGTTAAATCTATATTTGCAAGCTTTCTAATGAAACACACCATATTTTTCGCTCTATAAGACGCACCCGACCATAAGACGCGCCTAGTTTTAGAGGAGGAGAACAAGGAAAAAAATGTTTTCTCCCTCTCTGCTCAGCGCCTCTCCAGCAAAGCGAGAGGAGAAATGGAAGGGGCTCAGTTTCTCCTCCTCTCTGCGCAGCGCCCCTTCAGTGAAGCGGCAGGAGAAACGGAGCCCCTTCCATTTCTCCTCCTGCTTTGCTGAAGGGGCGCTGCGCAGAGAGGGAAGCTGCGGAGCGGCTCTTCAGCGAAGCGAAGCCAGGAGAGCAAGAGGGATCGATCCCTCTGGCTCTCCTGGCTTCAGCGAAAGCTGCGCAGCCTGCATTCGCTCCATAAGACGCGCACACATTTCCCCTTACTTTTTAGGAGGGGAAACGTGCGTCAAATACAGCGAAAAATATGGTACTGTATTACTAAAGGCATAATCACCAGTGCTCCCTCATCTGGAAGGAAGCTAACTGAAACCTTCAAAACCTTCTACGACTAAGGGAAATAGCAGAACAAAACTTGTGTGTATTTGGTTTTTGGTGTATACATGGCTAATTATGTCTCAACAGAATTCTAAAGGTGTATTTTTTTCTCCTTTTTAGTGCCAAGCCAGCTCCAAATATTGCTGCTTTTCGGTGAAATTATCTTCATTACCTATATGCAGGGTTTCTAACCAAACTTGGAACTGTACATGGAGATTATAAACATTGGGTGCCATTTATGCCTATTAAAACCAAGAGGATGAATGGCAACATGGTAATGTGTATCTGTTTGGACCCAGCTGTCCATAGTATGCTTGGGGGGAGAAGGATTCCTAAAAATAAATACATGGAAAGGTCTTAGTTAATTAGGTCAAAGAAATGCTCCACAACTGGTAATAAATTCTATTTTGCTTCTTAGTAAACATTCTGTATTGCAGTCTAAGATGTACTGTGAATTCAAGATAAAAATGTACTTATCCACTCCACATATATCGCAGAATTTTCTTACGATCTGTAGAGATTAACCAATTTTCTGCTTTTCATCCTTTCAATGGATTGTTAATTATTCAGTGCCAGACTATGATTTATCAACCCATTTTTATTGTATATAGCCAAAGGCCTTTACAATGGACACATAATAAAAGGAAACTTTCATCTAAAATCATACATGCAACCTGTAGTAGTTTACAACATAAAAAGAAATTTACAACATTCAGACTTAAGATTGGAGTGCAATCACATAGTTGGAACAGAGCTTCTTGGCTGCCAGCACAAATTTGGCTACCTGGTATGTAATATAGAGATGCTTATCTGCTAGGAATTCAACTGTCACTTCCTATGCAGATTGACCTGGAAGCCAGTTAAGAATTGGTGGTAGAAATTTTCCTCTGGGCGTTATATACAGGGGGCAACTCAGCAGATAGCATGTGACGTCCTCTTCCTGATTGCATCCATATATACATTTGCGATCCACATGGAACATTTCCCGATGTACCCCCTCTAAATATGCTGAGGGCATCTGTTGACATCTTAGTTCTACAAAGGCCCTGCGTAGTTGTGGGAAGGTCAGAGTCTCAAAGTAACAGGGCCTTGAGTGATTGCTCTTAATTTCGGGGTACCAAGTGGAGTAGCGGGCAACAATGATGGATGTTCTGTTTTGGTTGGCATCCTGATCAAAAATCCAATTTCTAAGGTCACATGGGCTAAGAGTTAAGACTGGGCTGCTCTTTTTTTCCTATCCTAAACTAAAGAAGTACAAGTATTGTTTTTAAATATAAATTATTTACAGCCTGATCATATATACTTATAAAGAGCACTGAGTTCAATTAGGATTGGTGCCTTAATTTTGGTTGCCGAATTTCCTTTCACACACATGCATGAAGATGCCCTCCTTTTAAGTTAGAACTACAGTGGTACCGCGGGTTAAGTACTTAATTCGTTCCGGAGGTCTGTTCTTAACCTGAAACTGTTCTTAACCTGAAGCACCACTTTAGCTAATGGGGCCTGCTGCTGCCGCTGCACCCCACTGCACGATTTCTGTTCTCATCCTGAAGCAAAGTTCTTAACCCGAGGTACTATTTCTGGGTTAGCGGAGTCTGTAACCTAAACCATATGTAACCTGAAGCGTATGTAACCCAAGGTACCACTGTATGCAGTTTGTGAGCCACCAAATTGAACACAATCCACCAGTTAAATATTGTGGCCTGCCAGGAATCTGACAACCAGAATGTTATTTTGTTTTGTTTTCAGTCCCAGGCAAAACAGAGATTGAGCATCTAATGGGTTGACATACATGACTGGTGGGCTGTTTTCAGCTTTGTGAAAGTTTTGTGGGCCTGTTTTCAAGTAACATGTTCTTCTCAAAGGTATCTGTTCCAAGCACTGGCATGACAATTTCAGAATTTACTTACATTTAAAAAAATTAAATTTACTCTTTTAGATTACGCTTATCATCTGGACTGTAATTCGCATTGGACCCAGCGGCTGTGACAGCATGGAGTTTCATGATAGCGGCTTATTGCGATTTAAACAAGACTCTGACATGGGAATTATACATCCATTGTATAAGAGCACAGTCGGAGGTCGACGTAATGAGGATTTGGTGATTGTTGGAGAGAACCAGCCAGTAAGTATATCTTCTATTGTGTACTGCGTTCAACATCTGAGCTTCTACCTCGGATATCCTTCTCTGATGAAGTATGACAGGTATACCAGAAACAGGACTTTCATAGTAGAAGTATATACATACTCTCCCTTCACCAGGGAGGCCCACCTAGCTCCAACATTGTTATGTTTTCAGACCCTAGGTTAAAAGCCTGGCTTGTTTTATTTGTGATTGGTAGGAAATGTTCTCAGGGTGGTAATTTGATTTTGTGTTGCTGGCTGCTATTGCTTTCTCCATTGTGGTATTTTTTGTATTGCTGATCCTGTAAATTGTTGCTTTGTTTTTATTTGTTGCAAGCTACTTATTCATTGATTAAAAAAAGATATTTAGTCTTAAGTTGTTTGTTGACAGGAAGTCACAGTGCTACCAAGCACTGTAAAAGTAGCAGATTGCCTTTGTTACATTTAACACATCTCATTTGTTTCTGCAGATTGTGTTTCAGCAAGGGGAAACAAAACTTAGTGTTGCAAAGAATGGAACCTCAATTACAAGTGATATTGGTATGGAATTTGTTGACCCACGGACTCAGAATACTTTGTTTAGCACTGACTATAATACTCACGAGTTTCATTTGCCAACTGGAGTAAAAATTTTGAATGTTCAAAAAGCATCTACGGAGAGGGTATGATCTCTGTTTACTTTTCTCTGCAAGTTACATGATGCATGCTGTAATCTTAAGCTCAAACCTTTATTTGCATTATAGCTAACATTCCATATAAAAAGATGAAGCATTTGACTAAGTTATTTATTTTAAGCATTTTAAAATGGCCTGTGTTTGGACATGTTCAGTAGAGACTATAGAAGCCTAAGGTCTACTAGTATATTATAAACCAGAGGTAGGGAACTGGTTCTGGTCAGTGGCCTGATTCAGTAGTGACCAACCTTCTATGGCCACTTTAAAAAGTGGGTGGGGCCACCTATCCATCAATCACCTGCTGTCATATGATGTCAGGTCATTGAAAATTCAGTATTCTTCCTTTGCAACAACAGCTTAAAAGTCCAGTGTGTATGTGGTGTTGGGAGCGAAAGTACATATGTGCTTTGCCCGCAATCACTCCTCACGCCCTGAGGGAACACAGTCCTCAGAGAAGTGGTGGTATGAAGATCCTCTACCCCTGCAATATATATAATTGCTGTCTAAATGAGGCCGCAAACACAGATTGCAATTAACTGTTATCAGTTGATAACATTGATATGCAGTCAGTCTCTGCAGAATCACAGCCTCCGTCCAACAAATGTTTTAACGGTTGATCAGCGGTGTTTAAAAAGCAAGGCCAATTTTGTAGGAAGATGAGTTTTTGTGTATAAAACAAAACTATTTTTTAGAAAATGCTTTGCACGGCTATTCTCTTTCTTTCTCAGATTACTAGCAACGCTACCAGTGATCTGAATATAAAGGTTGATGGACGTGCCATTGTCCGTGGAAATGAAGGTGTTTTCATCATGGGCAAAACCATCGAGTTTCATATGGGGGGCAATATGGAACTGAAAGCAGTGAGTAATTCCAGGATATTCAGTTTGTATAAATGGATTCAGTTGAGTTATATATATGACTGCATCCAAGTTAAATCAGATTTGATTTGGTTCATCTACTCATCTATAGATTTAAAATGGCATATTTTTTTAAAGCCTTATAAAATTATAGCTTACTGTTACGTGTCTCAAATTTGACCTATAGGTATATATACACCTTCCAGGTCAAAACACATAACTGCTTTGTCAGCTTAATATAGTTACTTCTTGCAAGTTATTAGATACAGCTACATGCACATACTCCATACCTATGTTTTGAAACAAAAACTTGTATTGGAATATTCCTATTCCAAAACTAAAACAAAACAGCTCTGTTTCTTTTAGACATATTTGCCTGGAAAGAAAAAAAGGAAGAAAATGTGTTGTTTTTTTAGGCTAACATTTTGTTCCCAGCTCGGAACAAAATTTAATTTACACATATGAGAAAGCTCATAAAACATTCTCTCTAGGTGTTATACAGAAAAGCAAATGCATAACAACAAACAATGCTACAATAATTGCAACTCTCTTCCTTTCCATAAAGGACCTTGTTTGACCAAAACAAGTTACGCAGAGTTGCCCGTTGCCAACAATAGCTGGCAAGATGCAGCACACCATTAATTGCTGCCCTTTTGCTAAGATACAGAGGAGACAGTGCGTGGCAAGCTCAACCTTGCATGGCTCTTCAAAGCTAGCCCCAGTCTCTAAGCAGATATTGCAGCAACCACCATTCAAGGAAGTGCGGACCTCTTTTAAAGAGAAGACATGTTCTGTCTCATGTCTGGCAACAGCAGCATAAAGAGCCTTGTAAAGAGAGAGGCAGGTGCACAGCCTCAAAAAAGAGGCCGGTTGGGTGCAGAAACCTGATGAATAAGGACCGCAAGTTAGATAAAGGAACAAAAATTTAAAGGCTTCATTGGATTGGTTATAGTTGCAGCTCTAGTTACTCAAAATATGTCTATCCCACCTGTCCAACATTACAGGTGGCTTAGAACGAATATTAAATGGTTTTTTTAAAAAAAACCCTGACAAAATGAAAATAAAATACTGCAACAGGCAACAAATCCTTATTAAAACTCGGTGGCCCAAAGGCCTTTGGAACAGTCACTGAAAGGTTAAAGAGAACAACTCCGAACACCACCCAAGACTTCATTCCAAAACCTTGGGGAAAATACAGTAAAGGTCCATGTTCCTTGCCACACCGAGTATAAATTTAGCCAGAGTATTCAAAGTACAACCCTGTCATATATTTGTGCAGTAGGTGAGTTTACTTTTGGCTTTCTCCCTCTGAGATCCCAGCCACAGAGAATAAGTTTAGGCACACAGCTTACCAAAGCAAGAATCGCTGCTGCTGCAGCTGCACTCTCTCCGGTATGGAAGCACAGTACAAATAATTGAGAGTGAAGGATATGTGTATATTCTATATTCTAGTTATCCCAAAGGATCTAGAACTGTCCCACCAGGACAAGGCTACAGGAGTGGGTTTATTAAAGACAGACCAATGGGGAAGAAATGAAGGCTGTAGCAGTTGAGTATAGATCAAAGGCCAATCATTCAAAACTGCTGCAATGGAGCATTAGCTTGACGGGATGGATAACTCCGGCTAGTTCTAGTCCTTAACCCCTTTCACATGTATTCATAGAATCATAGAATCATAGAGTTGGAATAGACCACAAGGGCCATCGAGTCCAACCCCCTGCCAAGCAGGAAACACCATCAAAGCACTCCTGACATATGGTTGTCAAGCCTCTGCTTAAAGACCTCCAAAGAAGGAGACTCCACCACACTCCTTGGCAGCAAATTCCACTGTCGAACAGCTCTTACTGTCAGGAAGTTCTTCCTAATGTTTAGGTGGAATCTTCTTTCTTGTAGTTTGGATCCATTGCTCCGTGTCCGCTTCTCTGGAGCAGCAGAAAACAACCTTTCTCCCTCCTCTATATGACATCCTTTTAGATATTTGAACATGGCTAATAAATTCACTAATAAATCAAATCATCCTATATCACATTAATCTATTTTTTGAAATTCACATGAGAATTCATATTTAAGTACCGTATTTTTTGCCCCATAGGGCGCACCGGCCCATAGGGCACATCTAGGTTTTGGGGGGGGGATGAAGGGGGGGAAATTATTTTCCCCCAGGCGCAGGGCTGGGGTGGAGGAAGCCCGAGCTTCCCCAGCCCCCAGAACAGGCAGCTCTCCGCAAGCCGTGGGAGCCCGGTGTGAAGTCGCGCCGGTCTCCCCAGGGTTGCGGTGAGCTGCCTGTATCCCGAAGCCTGGGGGCGCTGTTCAGCGCTCCCCAGGCTTTGGGCAGCTCTCCACAACCCTCGGGAGACCGGCGCGACTTCACACCGGGCTCCCTAGGGTTGCGGAGAGCTGCCTGAAGCCCAGGGCGCGCTCCGCTGCACTCCCCAGGTTTTGGGCTGCAGGCTGCTGTCCGCAAGCCTTGGGAGCCCGGTGGGAACTCCAGCGGGCTCCCCAGGCTTGCGGATAGCTTCCTGAAGCCTGGAGAGCGAGAGGGGTCGGTGCGCACCGACCCCTCTCGCTCTCCAGGCTTCAGCGAAAGCCTGCATTCGCCCCATAGGACGCACAGTGTTCGAAACTCCCATTGTTCTAGGCGGTCTGGGTGCAGCCTAAGATTTCAGATTAAAACTGCAGAGTGGAAGGAAAGGAGGCCCTTTTTCTGCCTTCCCACTTCCAGCTACTCACTGAAGACTGGAGAAGAGACCCTCTTAAGAATATTAGGGGGGTGGGCAGGGGAAGGACTGGACCATGCAAAAAAGGAACATAATATTTTAACTGCAGTTAGTTCATTTTCAGCTTGTATTCTTGTTATTAAAAACTGCCTAGATATTCCATTGTTGCACCCATAACCTAGGCTTAAGGTCCCGTTTTGCTCCTAGCTTTCATATCCCAGTTTCTAACACAGCAAATATCCCTTAGCTATCCCACAGCTGAATGGTAGAGCCTGTGCTTTTCACGCAGAAGGGTCCTTGGTTTAATCCCTGCATCTCCCAATTAATGAATAGCAGGACAAGGAATGTCATTTGTCAGATACGAGGGCCACTGCCTGTCAAGAGTAGACCACATTAAGCTGAGTAGTCAAACTCCGAACAAGGAAGTTTCTTACAGTCAGTTTCTCTAACATTAAGGTATTAAAATAGATACGTTTATTCAATTGGAAATACTGTTGCTAACTTCTGCAAATGTTTCTTTGGTAGGATAAGAGCATTGTTCTAAATGGAAGTGTGATGCTCAACACAGCTCGACTGCCGAGTCCTTCACATGGGGAGAAATTAAACAATGGCGACTGGGAACGCTACAAGCTTTGCATGTGCTCCGACGGGACTCTATTCCGCATTCCAGTTAAGAGCCGCAACATGGGTTGCCAAACCTCAGTTAATCCCTGCGGTAATACCTATTAAAAGCAAAACAGGGCACTATCAAACGAGGAGGAGTTTAGGTTTAAAACAGTTGCATGTTTGCAAGCTTTTTTTGTTGTTGTTTTCACCACACTTGTAAAAGAACTACATGAAGCACTTTTTTTATCCAGGACACTGCATTGAACAGATTCTTTTAAACATGAGTCGTATCATCAGACAATTTGCGCTACATATTACTGTATTTCAGTAAGGTACTTAAGTACATTCATCACTCCGGAAGTACTTTAGGATATAGCTGAATTGAAGTCACTGAAATCTTTGTGAAAGGTCTAATGGTGCCAATCTCTGGCTTATCTCACCTTTGCAAGCGTACTTTCTGCAAGTGGTGAGAACCTTCGGATATGCACAGATCAGTGTATATGGATTTGAGAATAGGATGGCCTCACCCACTACTGGCATATGGGCTTCTGAAAATTGGCTGGGTGGTGAGCATGGCCTTGGGCCAAAAATGGATAGTCATGCCTTGGCTAGAGGTTGTGTGCCTACATGGCAGTCTTCATTCATGTGCCCCCTAGCGGTGCATGATCATCTCACATACCCCACCCTTTGTTTTCATATATGCCTCAACAGAATATGCTGAGCCGTATTTGGGGGGGGGGGGACACGTCTGAACTGTGGTGCTTTGAATCTTTTAGGATTATGCAGAGACTCTTCACCAACAGCCCAAGTTTCCGTATAAATAGGTTGGCACTTCATCTGGGCAAATATCACAAACAAGAGATTAGTTTTTAAAAAGACTTCGGGTGCTTCAGGGTGTTGAGTACATTCTGTTTGATCTCCCTTTTTAGCCCCTCCTGTGGGTTGTCTGTGCAAAATATTTATAAGAAAGGAGAGGCTCTACAGGAACAAAATTCAGAAACAGTTATGAAATATTTTGAAGTACAGGACGCCATCAATGTATTGGCTTCCCTCTGCTGTCTTCATAGGTTCTGCATTTTATTTGAATATTATAAATTATTTTTAAAGCCTGCTTTTAGCAATAGTAACAAACAGCTTATTTTCCCACAGAGAAAAATAACATTCTTGAGATAATTTTTAGTTTAAACTGCTTTTTAAACGAGAAAAAAATTGGAAGGCAGTTCGGAGACTAATTGGGAGATTAAAAAAAACAAACCCTCATGTTGGCAGGCTATAAGTGCAAACCTGACTTGCACATTCTGTAGAGAAAGAAAATGGTGATACATTTATCTGCGTGAACAGCATTCAAAGCTCTACTGAGAAATATGATTGGGGCTATTCTATAACTACCCTCTGCAACTAATTCCAACCAATCACTTCATAGTGCACACACAGAAAATACAGTTAATTCAGTGTAGCACTTCATTGGTACGGGTTGGATATATTTAAATGTCATTATGAAATGGCGTATTAAAACTACTAAACCAAAATTATCACAGCTCCTGTTAACCCATTAGCTGCTTTTGGCAGAAACAATTGGGTTTATATTAGTTACTTTGTTACTTTTGAACTTTAAATTATTCCTTTTAATTCCTCTTTTAACTTGCTATTTATGTATTAGCCCTATACAGGGATAACAATACTGATTTACATTATCTCAGGACTCACAGCAGTGACATAAGGCACGTGAAATGCTTTGAACACATGACATGTGTTACATAAGTGGTAAATATTAGTACAGCTTCAGCCTCTTCATGCCCTGAAAGAATGGGGTTAAAAGCAAAAACCGTCAGGCAGCTGAATGGTGCCATCAAAATTTGCAGGATAATTTGTATGCTAATCATATGCTAGAGTTTTGATGCATTTTATCAGAGCTGAATGTGTCAAGCAGCCAGGCAATTGTTCATTTTGATTCTGGCAGTCGATAGCCTCCTAACAGCATAGTTTAGGCCACTTTGACTACAAAATAGCAGGAACCCTAACATGAAATGCAAAGGTTAGCAAAGGACTTACTTTAAATATTAACAAAAGCAAACAAAGTATCAACACATTGAAGTCAGTGAAATCTTCCTTTTAGTAGAATTTTAGGACTGACAATATTTGGAAGGCAAGAGTTCTTCTGGCTTGAATCCAAGGAAGCCCATGCATGCATCTGAAGTACTTTTGAACACACAGGGCCTTCGCTAATGTTTATTTCCCATGGCAGCCCTTCAGAGAGCATCAGGTGCTACTCTGGATGCTGACACAACTTTCAGCATCTGCCATTGGGGGATAAGGGTAGAGTGGAATGAAAGGTCCAGCATATATGTAAGAGACATTTTTTAAAATGCACTGTGGGAACAATGAAGAAAGCTCATTTATAACAGGCATTTGGCTCAGAGCATCCCTTCACAGGATACCAGTCTGCTTAAAACTGTTGATCCTATTGTTAAGCCAGTCAACCTGCAAGTGCTACTATGTGCCAATACTAAATTTGGAGAGCAAGGTCCTAAAGGAAAACCCAAATAGTAGCAATAAACTTTAAAAGGGTTTATAATTGAACACTCCTAAACAATCTCTGCAAATGTATTTTTTCACTGTGGTGCTGTTGCTATTTATTTGCACATTTTTTTACTAAAAAGTTTCTTTATACAAAATGAAAGTGTTATTATTGGTTTTTAACTTGCTGTGCTGCTTTCTGTGTGTGGCTGTTTTTTTGTTTTTTTTAGGACAGGACTTTTCTAATCCTTTTATGCCTTTGATTCTGATGAGCTGTATACAAACTGTACCTCTGCATTGAGGAGCAGTTTGGACATCTAACAATTGCTAAGAGATGTTCTCCTGTACACCTTTGTAAACTTTTATTTCAAAATAAAACTATATGGGATAGTCCATTTGAAATGGTTTCAAAAATATAGCCTCATACATCCTAAGTTGGTTATTATAGAAGCTGTGTATAAGCCACACACACTTTGGGTGGTCTTTGACAAGCCATTCTTACATATCCTTCCCACCAACTATACAAAATAATAATAGTGGTCTAGTTCAGGGATAGGCAACCTAAGGCCCAATCGCCTTCTAAATCTGGCCCACGGACGGTCCGGGAATCAGCGTGTTTTTACATGAGTAGAATGTGTGCTTTTATTTAAAATGCAACTCTGGGTTATTTGTGGGGCATAGGAAAAAAAATTCAAAATATAATCCGGCCCACCACATGGTCTGAGGGACGGTGGACTGGCCCCTGCTGAAAACAGTTGCTGACTCCTGGCCTAGTTGATAGATTTTAAGGATTGCTGAATGGTTTTGCAAAAGACTGCAAACACTAAACAGACCTGTGCAAATTGCAACCTTACAAAAGTTGAAACATAGCAACATCTTGTAGTTTACTTAGATGATCAACCAATTTCCCCAAGGCAAGAACAGACAATAAGTTGTAGTGGGACTGTCGGTCACAAGATTTGTTTGTTCTTATATGCTGTATAGATACTAAATATTGTACACCTGTATAAAATTATACTCTTTTTGCACATACGGTCAAAAGTGCGGATAGCCACAGAAATCAACTTCTGAAACCAAAAAGCACAAATACTGTTTTATTTGTGGGATGTTGGTTTTACACAAAAATTGCAGAGTACCAAACTCAGGTTAGGTAGTATAACAGTACTTCAGTCAATTTGAGCCACAGGACTTTTAAATAAGCACACCTCAAGTTTGCAATATGGAAATGGCTAAGACATAAAAAGCTGTCAGTGTCGTCGGGTAAACTACTGTCTCTGCCAAAACAGTGCGTCACAAAAAGAATTGTAACACCACCATTTCCCCGCCCCGCCCCCATTCCAGTCGGTGGACTCTATGCATTTACACAACTATATGAAATGACAAAGTCTAAGGCTTTCAAGAGGTATTAGCAGTTGTAATTAGCCCGGGCATATAGCAGATCCTTACAGAGTATTTAAGCACTGTTTGATTCATGATTCAGGGAAGAGAAATCCTAATAAGTTAATGACATTCTAGTACCTCTAAAGGGGGACAGAGAAACCCCCCACCAATGCTCAGTAACTAGAATACAGATACTTACAGATTACTTTTTTAAAAATCTGTATATAGATACTTTAAAAAGGTATAAATTAGTTATGCAACACAATGCACCTGCTACTTGAGAGACAGATGTGTACTGTTTAAAATTACATATACATCGTATGTTTTTATGATGCATTTATACTATTGTAGATTCTAATAGGCAACACTTTCCAAGTTTAGTTTCCTTTAAGTTACAAAAGAAGAAATGGATTTGCACTACACTAATCAAAATCACTTCAGATTACGAGGACCAAATTCCATATTCAGTATTCAATCTATTTGGCAAAAAAAAGGAAAATTATACTGGTATGTGGTACAGTATTGCCCAAGAATTTTATTTATTTATTTTAATTCTTAAAGTCAGTCATGTGTGCCAACAAATTACATCTTTGGTATTACATAAGGATCCTATCTGACAGCATCTGGAGTCCAATTTCACTTTGGACCAGTTTCCCACTCATGTATTAGTTTACATACTAGGTCTTTAAAAAAAAAACTTACATCAATCATTTTTATTTTACATCAGAGTAATGCACATACAACATCTTGCCAGAATGATTTTTGTAGAAAAGGCAGGGACATTTTCTGCAGACAATTGAACAGCCACTCTTAAAAAAAGAAAAGCATACCAAACATACTACTTAGGAATTTCAATGATTTAAGCTTATGAAAAATGAACAGCTTGTCTGAAAGCTGCTGTTTACTTGAAAAATGTTACACAAGCAACATGGAAAAGTTTTAAGCTCCAACAGAGCTCACTTTTCTGTTGGAGAAAGAAGTCAATACTGTCACATGATAGAAGGCTGTGTGCCATTTAAAGCCATCCAAGAAGCAGACATATGAAAATCTGTTAAATGATTATGTCAGTACATTAAATCATAAACTGGACTGTGAGCAATGGATCTTGCTTTTCATTTTCCTCAAATTTGGTTACGTGTATCAATAAGAAAGCTTTTGTTCTAAATTGATGCTTAGCTACATTTAGGGAAACAGGTTAACCTGTGCCACTCCAGAAGTTGCTGGACTCCCATCAGCTCTAGCATGCAAAGCAAGCGATCAGGGGATGATGATGGCAGCCGCATTGCAGCAATATCCGGGAGGGCAAAAGGTTGACCCAACCCTGTTTCAGAGCCTGCCTTTCACTGCAAAATTCAAGGGCAAGTTCTCACTTTTTCTTCTTGGGATATTTCTAGCAGAGTATAAGATACAAAAGCAGCTTGTTGAACTGGGTCTGGCATGTAAAATTATATGCACCCCTGCACATCACAGGGCCTCCAAAGCAACATTATGCGAGAAAGGAAGCGCTTGCGATGAAAATTGGGGTGGAAAGAAGACTGCAGCCTAGTACTACTTCACACAGAGAGAGAAATGCTTTGCACATGTACCTTGAATCCTGGCTTGTGACTTGTAGCAAAACTGATTGTTTGGAGGCAATAAATTTTAATCCACCCAATGCCTTTACATGTTGCACCAGTAACTTCAGAATCCAGAACCCATCTATTCCCATTTGCTGTTTCAGCTGTAAAGGAAAGACAGATTTTACAGCGTGGTCTCTTCACAATTTGATGAGGTGCTTTTGTTTTGTCCTCTAGTAGTCATATCCAAGCATAAAAATTTAAAGTGAGACTCTGTCCCAAAAGCCCGTTATCTGATACTTTTATGGACCTTATTTATAATACTTTTTATCTTTAAACTAGATTGCACAAATGGCTGGATCGCGGCATCTCAGCAAAATGGCTTGCAATAAAGCCTGCAGTCCCCCACACCTTCCTTTGAGAGCTTCACAAGCTTTTCTTTATGGCTATGCCAATTGTAATACATGTTAGCACATTTTTTAAAAAACATGATTTAATAAGCAACTTGACTACTGCACGTTGCCTTGTGGAAATATCACAACCTGTAGATAACATTGCATGTTTTATACAAGCAAGCAACTATAGGATCCATTACTTTTTTGTATTTGTTTTCAATAGAACAAGTTAAACAAAAGGGTAAGATTTTACTAACACGGTATTTTATTTATATCCATAATGGCTGATTTTGTGAATAGCTTTCAAACGTCTAAATTCTAATACAACCACCACAGCAGGGATACAGAGAGCTGTACACACTGAGACTTTTCAACCTCACTATTCTGGTGGTAGACCTCCAAACACCTTCTGCCCTCCCAAAAGTTAAGGGTCATAATATTCCATGTTGTGATACCACTGGAAACAGATAAATTTCAGCACCCTCTTCAGTGCAGAATTATACTGGACTGGGATCTAAAGAGGCTGAATTCAATGAAACACTGATTTACAAGTACCCAGTCCTAAAAGGTTGCTGCTTACCAATAATTTAAGCAATTTAATGATAAAATAAAGGAATTTGCATTGATTTTACATTTAGGCTGAGCTCTGAGAGTTCAAAACAACACGTTTACTTATGGTTTAACTTCCTCTAACAACAAAAAGCCTGCTAATGTTTTATTGCAAACTCCATTTTTAGCACTCTGTCCATTAATTTAACATTCACCATTGGATTTTTGGAAGTATTTCCGCAGTCTGCTACCCACTAAGTAACCTTTGTCAAAAATTCAGTATTAAACTTTATAAGGAAGGCTGAGGCAGAGATAACATGAAAAGACATTTCTTAGCACATGAATTCGGCTTCCTCAAGCAAGCAATGGCTTGAACTTTCATGTACAGACAGATAAGAGTGGTCCCAAATGAGTGACAATGCTGGTGATTAGTGAGCCCATTGCCTGCAACAGGCATTCTGCTAGGAAATCCAATCCCTGGAATAAAAGATGCCATTGCCTTCTTTAGATTCCCACGTTTGCAAGGCTTTTCGGTTCAGATTTAACAAGAAATTCCAGACCTTGAAACTCACCCGCCAATCTATGTTAAATTTTACAAGAGGCTTCATTTTGCTTTCATCATCAATACAGTCAAAACACTAGAACAGCAAAACTGAAATAAAGAAATATGCCATTTTACAAGTCTAAAACCCTTTTTTTAATCAGATTTAATCTGCACCTATTTGCGAACTACAGGAATCTGAATATTAGGACGTCAGCAGTATCACCAAGTGGAAATCCTTGTGGCACGTACGACTCTAGTCAAGCTATTACACTTTTAACAGGTTTTCAATAAAAAGACAGCCAATACTTGCTTACTAAACAAAACTGAAGTTGGGCATCTGCATGTGAAGAAATCATACTGCAGGATATCCTCTCAAAAATTGGCATCTTGTCGCTAACGGGCAATAGTTCCACGTGGTAACAGTCTCAACAATCACTTTTTTCCTGAAATGTTACGTCCGAGACCAAATTAAAATTAAAAATTAAGTTACATGGTTATTTAATGCAACTAGAAATATGCCACAAAATTATTTTTACAATACACTTCTGGAGTAACTCCTAGGTGAAGCTTTTTTTATACACATATACAAAATTTAGACAGCAATATACACATAAATCACAGTGAGGATGCTGGTTAAGTTCACCATCTGTAGTGTAGATACAAAAATGCAAAGCAGCCTTCGAAGAGAACAATGCTACACAGCAAGCAGAGCTGGCCTCTTAAACAGCAAAACACCAAAAGGTCCCCAAAAACGGGATGCAGTGCAGGAAAAGCAGCATGCGCTTTTATACAAATAGCAGTTTATGGCTAATGGTCGACATAACTGTAGTAACAGGGACTCTTGAGCGGCTGTGCATAGTTAAAATTCCTATGTCATTTGTTTCTCTTTATACCACTCCACAAATTCATCCAGCAACACTGGCCCTGCAAGAAATAAAGCCACAAATATATATAAAAAACCTTTTACACAGAAAAAGAAAAGTCTGGAATGAACAGCTTCTGGATAGTAAGATATGGTACAATAGATTGCAGCTTTTCATGCAAATACGTACATGCCCCATCTTCATCATAATTGCTGAGGTCAAGATTAATGGTTCGGCTGAACTCCAGAACATTGCACCATTGGTCCTTGTTGATGACCTTGTATTTAGATTGCTGATTAAAAAAAGAGGAGCAGTTACTGAAATCGGAAATGACTGACTTTTCAACTACTGTATATTGTTTGGCTTTGTGGTCACTTCAGAGATTCAAAATGCCTTTTGGATGAAACGGTCGGCACTCAAGGATGTTATGAAAGGCCATTTTAAGAGTATAACAAGCAAGCGTAATACACTGGAACCTAAGTACCAGAGCTGTAATGTGGTGTCAGGAATAACGCTCCTCAAGAGCGTTAGAGCTGAGAGCCAGCGTGGTGTAGTGGTTAAGAGCGGTGGACTCGTAATCTGGTGAATCGGGTTTGATTCCCCGCTCCTCCACATGCAGCTGCTGGGTGACCTTGGACTAGTCACACTTTTCTGAAGTCTCTCAGAAGTCTCACAGAGTGTTTGTTGTGGGGGAGGAAGGGAAAGAGGATTGTTAGCCGCTTTGAGACTCCTTAGGGTAGTGATAAAGCGGGATACCAAATCCAAACTCCTCCTCAAAAATCAGGTATCAGAAAACATTATTTGCAAAAAAAAAAAGCTTTGTCACTTTCAAAGACTATGCACGACACACATCTATTTATTTTGTAGAGCTAAAAATGAAATGTGTGCTAGTGAGCTTTTGCTTGATTTCAGAAAGTTACAGGCAATATTTTTAGTATGTCTGTCTATAGGTGTGCAGTAGCACTGCTGAACATCAAAAGGGGTGATAAAGTAAACATCTCCAAGACACCTTAATAATTTACATCATACTTCGGAAAAGTCACATACAATACTAGATGTCCAAAGCAGTTTGTGTACACCATCAGTCATCCTTACCCTGCAAGGTAAGTCACTCTTGCCCATATATTAAAGAAGGGCATCAGAGGCTGACTCAAACTCAAAAGTTGATTACAACTTCAGTTGTATCAGAAATTACACATGGAAGGAAGATTTCATCATTTCATCATCTGTGCCCTGAACCTTCCATTTTATTGATCCTTTTATTATTGATTTATTTTATTGATTTATTTTCATTTGCCTGTAAGCTTACTTGCAAAACAATTCAAATATTCAACTCAGGTAGTAAAACTTTTCAACTATCTGCTAATTCCCAGTTTTAACTCTTGGTACAGCATCTTTTAAAAACAGTATAAAACATAAAAAGGTGTTTCTACTTGTACCTCTAGGAACTGATGAAATACTGGAAAGAGAGGCCATGTTTTTCCTAAGAGAAGTCCTAACATACACTTGGCAGTGTTTATATCTAGACTTCGCTGGTCCTTTTCCTGTCAAAGAGAGAGAGAAAATTTAGCTAGGTTTATGTATAATGTTCTTCATTTGCACTAGAAACTATGTCAGTTTATGCTTTACAAAATGTAACTATATTTCAATTATCTTCATTTGGTTCCCTCTTGCTTTTTGCTTGTTTGCTTGTTTAAAATACACACAGTGAAGCCATACCTCCTGGGGAGCTGCTGTTAGCATTTAATGCATTCTGTCTGCAAATCAGAGCATCAACTTCCTAACCTGGGTAGCCAAGTAAACAATGTATTCACCTTTGATGAGTTACTATTTTGGAATACTGTCCACTGCATAATGGTACATTCCTTTTCCTCTCCTGCAAAATTCAGCTGGTGATAGCAATTACTCAACCTGTGCTTGGCATTTCCCGGTGTCTGGGAGCTTACGAAGGGTCAATATGTTGGGACTCCAACCCTGTCAGCCTCAAGACACTTTAGTCAATGGTCCAGATGCCCTCTAGCAGTGGCAAAGGTCTGGAATGTGGAAATAGTTTGAGTCCACTGGGTTCTCATTTTTGGACTGTGAAATGGATTGGGCCAATGTGGTAGTTAAGAGGGAAACAGATTGCAGGAACGACTCTTGACCAACTGTATTATTCCTGTAGAGAACCAGGCCAGGGAGATTTGTGATGGGTTTAGGTGGTCTGCTACTCTGAAAAAATGAAGATTTCAGTACTAAGAGCTCTACAAAGAAAACAAATATGCCTAGGCATCAAACTGGGAACCCATAAAAATTAAGACAAGAGCCAAGAGCGGTAACACCGATTTGGAAATGATTCAAATGCGTGACTTGGAAGATTAATATAAAACTGTAAAAATGCAAATGGAATTTTGCACACTGAAGGAAACTTGACTGGCTTAGTGGAAATCATTAACACGGGTGTATAAACGTCTCTTCATGAAAGAAACCATACAAGAATTCATAAAAATGGGGTGATCAGAATGTGAACTCCAAGCTACTCACACGTGCAAAGTCAAATGCATATCTGTAAATAAGTTTAAAATTTGTAGGCTCATTTAATAAAGATCTCAAATAATCCAAAGAATTTCTTAGCTTCTCTGTTGTATCACATCTGTAAAAATAAAAATAAAATACCAATTTAAATTCCGCACTACTAACCATCAAGCTATTTTCTGGCCCTGAACCCAATAGTACTTTATCTTTGAATTTATAAACTGCCTTTCAAAAAAAAAAAAAAGCAATACAGTTACAGCAAAAATATAGTCTGTATTATAGCAGGTAAATCAGTCTGTAACCGAGAACGATGATGGTTCTTTTGCATACAGTTCATAGGCATTCAGTAAAGCAGCTACGAACATTTGAAACCATTTAAGACATATATAAGTATAATTTAAGAGGCCCAAAAGGCATACGGAGAATTGCTGGATTATAAGACAGCACAATTTCTATTTCTGCGCAGGATGAAGTTAAAGTTCACAAAATGACAATGCACCACTGCTAAATTTATTTCACATTTGCTAATGAAATACTTACTGCAGGGATGTCATTCCTTTTAACCATTCTTGCAACGTAAAGTAACCCATGTTCTGAGCATCCAGCTTCCAGGCTAAAACAAGCATAACTACCTGGTTGAAAAACAAAACACAAAACTTGTATTACAATTTCCTGAATTGTAATTCACCCTTTTTGCCAACCCCAGCAACTTGTACTAGGCCAAAGATGCCACCTGCTTTATCTATACCAAAGGCGATGCTCTTATAAGCTCAACTCAGCTCCTACCCCCATCCAGCTCTCCCACCCAAGAAAAACGAAAGTGATCCAATATCTAACTCCTTTTACGATAGCAAATATGTGAACGTGCAAATGAAGAATGACACCTGAAGCAAAGAAAAGCCTCTGCGGTACAACATTTGGCAGCAGCTAAATGTTGTACAATTGCTGTATTTTCAGTGGAATAAAGGCCAACAAGCAAACAGATCCAGCACTTCCACTTGCAAAATTTAGACAAGTGGGAAGGAGCAGCTAAGATGCAAAGAAGGGGAGAATGATCCAAGCATCTCAAAGGCTTCACTGCTAAACTTCCCAAAAGAAGGAGTGAAAGAACCCTCCTCCTGTGTTTCAGAATGAGGTGTATAATAATAGCTGCTCTGTCCTAGGCCTCTGTTGCTGTTCGGAAGAGGAAGAAGAAGGGGTTGAACACTTAACCTGTCCCACAGGCAAAAGGCTGAGCTGCAAAGTAAGGGCAGGTCTAGGGAATCGAGACTATACTGGGAGCCAGATAGAAAGTTCCTGGGTGCAGAATGTTGTCTAATCCTTATTGTCTAAATTTGTGTCATTTGTTAAGCCATGACTATTTTTGCCATTGGTCTCAACTTTTTGAAGATTTATTTTCCAAAAAAAACAAGGCAAAAACATTTTATATTCAAAACCAAATAAGAATATAATGCACGGTGAGCTGGCCAAAGAAAGAAAGGCTTCTGGAAAGTTGCCTCTTCTAACAGGAACACAACCCTTCTCTTTACTGTAACATTTGAAATAGTTACAATGCATAAGTTGCTCACGGTCTGGAAATAACCTGAGTGAGTAAACGAATGAATGAAAAACCCAAATCCTGTATTACAAGGACTATGCTTCCTCCCTTCTCATTATCTGAAAGCAAGCAAGCTCTCTGACATCTGTAATAAATCTGAACGTACATTTTCTGGTTCAACCCCAATGTCCTCACAGAATTTCTCCATTCCTTCAGGACCCACAATATCATCTGTTCCTATAAGCAAATGAGATTGTGTTACTTCCACTTGTAATCACAGAACTGTATTTTTTTAATAGACCATATATATATAAGGTTGGAGACACTGCAGTGCCACAAGTATGTGACGGTTCAAATACTGCTCTACGTATGCATGCATGTATATGTATGTATACTTATTTGAAAGGCTGTCTCTTACCAAGTAGTGTCTCAATCAAAATCAAGCCCTATCCTTTCAACTTTGCAGATTTACATTTATTAACAGGGAAGCAGCTAGCCAAAGGTTAACCAGGCAACTTAAATTTGACTTCAAATTTGCAGCCTTGTATATCCTGTGATTAACCTCTTTAATGCAGCGAGCAAATGTATTTTTAAAAACTATATACAATTTAAAGCCAACATTCTAGTTGCATTGGCATTGAAAATATATGTTCACTAACTTCTTTATTCTTTCAGGAGGCTGAGTGCATCTGAACTATTTTAATGGATGCTTTTCATAATCTACATTTTTTTTGTTACAAAACATATTTATATTCAAATTGGAGTTGATATTTGAATATTTTTCTTGAAGTTTCAACATTATCTGGGCAACCAGCAATAAGCAATATATATATTCGCTAACCTGCATATTCATAGAACCATTCTAAGCACCTCTTGCTCGAGAACATGTCATCTTCCGTCTTTATTCTAGTAGAATCATATTTTCTGTACATTCTAGTGCAGGGGAAGAGGTAAATAACGTAATATATAAATTCTATAATATATATAGATTTATATAAGAATGTATTACCAAGCTGGCCTCTTCCTCCTATCTAATCCACTAATTTTCAGAACTTTGAGGCAATTAAAAGAATCACAAAATAATCTACAACTAAACAGAACATTCCTACAGAACATATATGGATGCCTATATCAGAACTTAAAGCCCTAACACTTGACATGTTTGTTGAAGCAGGAAGGGCGTAAGTGGAGCTAATTTAACCCCACTCTCACCTCCAAAGATATTCCAAACCCCTCTGAGTTTTCAACTTCCAATCTCTCATTGGAGATATAAGGGAACACATGCAGGATTATACTAGACTGATAGCTGATACGTACAAGTCACAGCTTTTCACATTTAGGAACTATCTTGTTCAAAACCGTGACCCAAAGATTCATGTCCTTCCTCCACACAAGCAAGAGGAGCAGTGAAATCTCTTGTGCCACTGTCACCACTGTCCATATACATAAAGGCAAACTATGGTTTGCTGTTGCATCTAAATGGAGCCTATGTTTTTATTCTGGCCTATATAATTTCAGTGGACTGTAACTTTTCAAGAAACAGGGACAGGGGTGAAGCGGAAAGAAAATAATTGGACTCGTATGCAAATTCAAAATCTAGCCATCATATTTGCATTCCATAGGACACTATCGTTTTCCATAATAATCAAATGTGTGTCAAATCTACAAATTGAATCCTTAAAAATGCTTCATCCTAAATAGTTTCCTTTGAGAAAAAGAACTGTCTCCCCATTGAGTTATTACAAAATCATGCCTCAAAGAAAATAGGCATACTAAAATAAAATAAAACCTACTACCTCCGCTTAGTAAACCAGAGTTGAGTTAAATACGAGTCCACACCTCCTGACCTGCTGTCCATACAAAAGTAATGACTCCTGAATCAAATAATCCAAGTAAGATCACGTACCCATCATGTCTACTTTTTTTAGCTGATAGGTCATCTCCAGCTGCAGGTCGCCTCTTTTTTCTTGGAGGCATCACTTTGCTAAAGCAGTCTGATGAACTGCACGACCTGAGACTTCCTGTGGAATAATTTAGGAAAGCAAGACAAGGGTTCAAACAGATGCAAAGCCTACTGAAAAAGCATATGAGGCAACAGACACATTGAAAACACAAACTGTAAAACAATAAATCATCACACGATAAGCAGAACAGCAGCAAAGCTCGAAGCACGCTCAATTCTCAACTCTTTCAATACGGCAAGAGATAAACAGACTGGAAATTAAAAAGCACAGGTAAATAAAATTCTAAAACATACAGGGGCAGGCATACAGCGATGATGCAAAAGTTGGGCATCACCACTGAGAAGGCCTGGTTTATAGTCACCATGCATTACAAATCCGCAGGAGGGGAACCAAAGATATCAGAGAACAGGCAGGTTCAATGAGGCCTTGAGGTAACCTATAAAATCCTGCATAGTTTGGGACAAGAGTACCACCAGCACTTTGCGCTGGAGTCCGTGAAACTCTTATAACCAGCAAGATACAACTTTTGTAGGTCACAATCTAGCCATTCAGTTTTTAATTACCTTAAGTTTCCAAGGGATCTTCAAAGGTACTTCCACATATACCAAATTACAGTAGCCTGTGCTGGATGTTACTAGGATACACATGCCAAGACCACATCTGCCTACAAGGGTTGCCACTTGGGGATTCAGCATAGGGGCCAGATCCAACAGCACTTCCAAACTGGGCTCCTGATGTTAGCTGCCAATGTGGGGCAGGTTTAATCACACTTCTTCAGTCACACAGACCACTGATCTTAAGCACCCTTAACTTCTGTATTTCATTCTATTAGCCCTCATCTAGTCGGTTACCAATCCCAGGCACCTATTCTGTACTTCTACCAGAGTCTAATGGAAAAGAGAAATAGACCCAGGAGTATTCCTAGAGCTTACTCTTGTACAGCCACAGGAGGTGTTGTGTGGTAAAAGCGTGTGTGCTATTTAGAATTTAAAATACAAAACACATCTAGTTTTTATAAAACTGGTATATTTGTGCAGCTGCATCTTATCTTCAGGCGCAAAGTCCAAACCAAAGGTAGAATCAGCAAAGCAACCATATTCAGGCATCATCAGAACACCAGGCAGGTGGTGTTCTTATTCATTCCTAATCATTTAATTTAGCCATTTTTAAAAACAAATCCTATGCAAGCCTACCGAAATACGGGAGTTACCTCCTTTCTCTTTCCAACTTGAATGTTGCTTCATGAAGGTAAGACACTTACCAGCTGCCCCCAGCCTTGCATCACCTCTACATCCTGCATCTACCAACTCCTGACTCATTATTAACACGTATCATCCCCTCCAACATAAATAAAAGTATAGAGGGAAAGGGAGGGTCAGCACGCAGTTATGTTGCCCTTGCCCCTGCAATGCCCTCAGCTTGTGTTTCCCTCCCTCTGTTCCAAAACAGTAGAAAATCATGGAAAGGCTTGGGCGCACACAATTTAACCTGTAAGCAAGCACAAAGGTGCTAGAGCACCACAGAACATCTTTATCGCTTACAAGTTAAAATGAGCGCCTTAAAGGTGCAATCGTAATGCTTTTGATGCATGAGTGAATTTGCAAAATCTTAACTGACCTCTTTGGCTGAAAGGCTTTCTGATCCTAACTTTAAAATTATAATAAGCCATCTAAGTGAAGGGGCATAGTTCAGTGACATGCTCTGCATAAAGAAGGTGCAAGATCTCTGCCAGATGACTGGGAGAACCACTGCCAAACACTATCAAGCCAAGGAAACCAATGGACTGGCTTAGTACAATACAGCTTAATATGCTCATAACACTCATTCACACAATCCATTTGTCTACACTGATGCTATAAAATACAGGCATTAAGGCAATTTCCACAATCTTCCACTGTAGTGCAAGCACCTTCCACTATAAAAGGTGCTATTCTGAGATGTCACGTTTTAAAATTCAACAACGGTTTTCAAAGTAACTTTCCCCCCAAAGACTGGGTTTTTTTTGGAAAAGGGGTTGCTAGGAATGGCCAACTCTTGAACCTGAATCCTTACATAGCCTAGCAAATCTTACAAGCTAATTGACTGTCCCTCGTTTTTAATGTTAATGCCCCATTCCTCGTTGGTGTTAATTTCTACATTCAGGAAGGTTCCCCCTATACCTAAGATTCCTAAAACACATGACAGTATAATTTGTATAAAACTCTCTACCTGTTTGGTGATCGTCTTGACCAACGTCTTCTGTCAAATTCTGTAAAATATTAAATCAATGCAGTTAACTAGGAGTTTAGCTATTTTCAAATAGCACCAGCTATCCACTTTCTTCTTACAATTTCCCATCCCTTTCTAAATTTACCCCAATGGCAAATATTAGATTTTAAGATTCTCAGCGATGAGAATAGATTTGAGGAGGTGCAGGGTGGAAGGAGAATTCCTACTATGGAAATCCTCATACGTGACATTGGATGTCATCCCCGGGCTTCACTGCAGAATGGGTTTGAGAGTGAGCATTTGCCAATAGTAAGTCAGCACTTGGATTTGGACACTAGTAACCCTATCTAGAAGGAATGAGCTCTGGGAATGGCTGCAGTAACCATGTGTTAAAAAGCAATTAAAGCAAACATGAGGGACTGGTCGCCAGAGCAGAGTTGAGACTGTAAAGTGCCATAGCTTTCTGAGCCTGCAACACAGTTGTACTTTGGAAGTCGAACAGAATCCATTCCAGAAGTCTGTTTGACTTCCAAAACGTTTCAAAACCAAATTGCAGCTTCTGGTTGGCTGCAGGAAGCTCCAAGGTACGGCTGTAATAGGAAAAGGGGGAGTTGCTGGAAACAGACAAGAGTGCAAAAACCAAGACACAAAGGGAATATACAGCTCCACCTTGAGTTAAGAAAGGATAGCACTTTTGAATGGTCCATCACCTCTGCAAAGACTGTCACTTAAGGGAAGACTTTCAGTAAGTTTTAGAAGCTGCGGCAGCACTGTTTTAGGTTGACTTGGGTCAAAGGTTGGGGGCTAATCAATCTATTTCCACATGAGCAAACGGAGCAAGTGTGCAACTAAGATGAGCATGCTGCCTCGATCATCTTGGCACATGCTACCCCTCACCTGCACAATTACTCTGGGAAGATAAAACAAGACACACCTCATCTTACTCATGAGGAAAGGGGAGGATGGACATGCCACAGGATTCTGCAGCCATTAGGTGAAGGTCATCTGAAATAAAATCCATGGTGCATCTAGCAATGTGGTCAGGAGGAAATCTGAGTGGGGAGGAGGCTTCATCTTTCCTACTTGTGGAGATGTGCTTTGAATAAAGTCTCCCTTCATTCCTTGTCCTTTGTACAAATTTCAGCAATTTGTCTTTCCATTGTGTTGAAAAAAAATCCTAGGGTTTATAGCAAGAAGCTGTCATGGCTTCATCTCCAAATGCTGAGTATACATGAAGAAAATTAAGAGTCATGGATGTTTGAAAAATCATTTACAATAATTTTTTGCATTTCTACTTGGCATACGTCTATTTCCAAAGGTACAGCAAGCTCTGGATAATCATGTCAGGACACTTTATAATCAGACAAAACTATATAAGTAGTAGATTTAAAAAATGCAAGTGATTACCAGCCTATTAAGAGTGTGGTAAATCTTATGAATATTTGCCAGTGTTGATAGATGAGAGTTCAGCTGAAAATCTAGAGAGAAATAAAAACATTTTTTTCTTATTTTGGTTATGTCACCTTTTAGAATGCTTAATAAACACATTTCAGAAGTACTGCAGATAAAGCTGAAAGTCTTAATTTTGAACTGCCTTTCTCCTGTCATACAATACAGTGTGTGTGTATATATATATATGGCTTTTTTGAATTCCATTAAATGACATATCTGAATGTTATTTGAGTCCCCTATCTCCTTCTGCAACAGTAATACTACATCTCAAACCAGTGTTCAAAATTCACCCGGCGCATTTTGCACCTGGCTAGCGGCACTTGCGACCAAGTGCAGATGCCTTGGTGCCAAGATGGTGTCTGTCACTCCACCGTCTGGAGCTGCATGCCTTGGGATCATTGGATCTTGACTGATTTCACACACTAATACCCCATCCTGTAGAATTCTATCAATTACATTTTATCTGCACAATCAGAATGAATTTCAGGAACCAAAACGTCGTATTGATCCAATCAAGGCAAGCAAAACTACTATGAGCATTGCCTGCAATACCACTGCAACCGTTCACAACACAGATTTGTCTCAATGTAATTGACGTTGTGGTGACAAATGTCTCTAGGAATGTGTAGAGCATGGGTAGGCAAACTAAGGCCCGGGGACCGAATCTGGCCCAATTGCCTTCTAAATCCGGCCCGCAGACGGTCTGGGAATCAGCATGTTTCTACACAAGTAGAATGTGCCCTTTTATTTAAAATGCATCTCTGGGTTCTTTGTGGGGCCTGCCTAGTGTTTTTACATGAGCAGAATGTGTGCTTTTATTTAAAATGCATCTCTGGGTTATTTGTGAGGCATAGGAATTTGCTCATCCTTTCCCCAAAAATATAGTCCGGCCCCCCCACAAGGTGTGAGGGACAGTGGATCGGCCCCCTGCTGAAAAAGTCTGCTGACCCCTGGTGTAGAGGCAAGTCATCAGAAGGTATCACCTTTAAAGTTTTATAATAATGTGATGCATCTGGCAATGATAGTCCTTTCTGGCAGAGCAGCACTACGGAATGTCTTGCAGCAGGAAAAAATTCTGACTTAAGAGCAGCCACACTGCCTTCCAAATTAAATTATTTGCAGGTAGGTTGTTCATAGAATTGTATAACTAATTTATTTTAATATTAGCTTTTGGTCAGATCATTATTATTACTTTTTACATTAGAACATACTGTCACACACCCCACAACCCCCGAAAAAGCTACTACATTACCCTATACACAGTTGTACCTTGGTTCTTGAACACCTTGGTACTCATACATTTTAGCTCCCGAATGCTGCAAACCCGGAAGTGAGTGTTCCAGTTTGCGAACGTTTTTTTGGAAGCCGAACATCTGACACGGGTTCCAATTGAGTGCAGGAAGCTCCTGAAGCCAATCGGAAGCCGCACCTTGGTTTTTGGAAGTCGAACGGACTTCCGGAACGGAATACATTCGAGAACCAAGGTATGAATATTTCACATGGCTTGCTTCAACTCTCAAAACATACAAAATGTAGAACATGATGGGAAAAAGTTTTCCATCTTCAATAGCATAAAGTTATTCTTAGCTCTGCAAAACATATCTGGAATAAAAGGTTTGCTATGTATCCATATGAATTTGAACACCTATCTAGCCCATATATGTACTTAGGTTAGAACTGAATTAGAATGGTCAATCAAATTATTGCTGATGTCACAAAAGACATGCTATAAGGTTCTAACCTGATGTACAGAAAAAGTGTTGTCTTTCATCATGAACAACTTGAGCCTAGTATGGCTCTATGAGTAAAAAGGGACAGTTTATACAAGTCATATCCATAGATACCAGGAGTTAGGCACTGGGTAATTCTTTGAACCAAAGAAACATCATAATCAGAGGGAAGGTGTCCTGTATGTAGCAGCTGCTTTGATATCCCAATCTTTCTCTCTTGTGAATTGCTTTGTTCCAGCTGGGAAGAGATTTCTACAACCCTCCCATTATTCTATTAAAGGTAGACCAACAAAACATAGCAACGCATTACTCCTAATTTTATACCATATTGTTTCTCAAATAAGTTGGTTCCTCACAGCCCCTTGATGTGCTCATTCCTGATGACAATGGGCTGTTTCCAACCAAGTTTCTCTCAGAGTAGACACAACAAAATTAATGGACTCAAGTTAGTTATGAATTCTACGATTCTATGATTTCATGGTGACGTATTTTAGTTCAAAATCAACACTGCCTAATTTAAGAAGTGGAGTAAGCACAACAGATATTTTCAAGATGAGGGAATCTGAAACTTCACAAGGAAGTCATTCATGCGACAAAGCATCTATGCTACATTTCAATTGAGTCCCCACAAGGGGCTGTCTTTAAAGACTGTTCAGAAACATTAACTGATTAAAAATATAACCAGCAAATGAATACCTGGGAGGATCAGGTTAGATCAGGGGTCTGCAACCCGCGGCTCCGGAGCGGCATGTGGCTCTTTTACACCTTTGCCGCGGCTCCGGGGCAGATACTAGCGAGGGGAGGAGGCGCATTGTGTGCCCCGACACTCCCCACTGTGGCGGGCGCTGTACTGGCTGTGACGTCGCATGGGGGCGGTGCATGCGTTGGTCACGCACCGTCCCGACGTTACCTTCCCACCCGCTACATTGTAAGGGGCATGTACGCTGGTCACTGTTTTGAAGGGGAGTGAAGAACACACACACACACAAAAAGGTAACTTGTTAATTTAACGTTTATTTCTATGAGGAGGAGTAATTCTGAGGGGTCAAACAAAGAAATAATAATAAAAAGTGACAAAAAATTTATTTTTATAATGACGAGTTTTGCGGCTCCCAGTTTTTTTTCCTTTGGAAACGGGTCCAAGTGGCTCTTTTTGTCTTAAAGGTTGCAGACCCCTGGGTTAGATTGTAGCATTAATGTATTAAGACATCTTCACTGTCTGAGGTGTGAAAGGGGAAAACAGGAATTTTCTATGTGCCACCAAAGCTTATGAATGCTCTCTGAAGGGGAGATCTGCCTAGCCCCATTTGTGTTCCAGTGGGAGGTGAGAACCCTTTTATTCAAATAAACCTTTGGCCCTCTTTATTGAAGTATTTTAAAGGCTGAGTTGTATGGTCAGTTTTAACTTGAAGCTTTCATTTTACAGAACTTTTAGATGTAAAAGCGACAATTTTATTACAGTTAAAAGCCATCAGCACACCTCTAGAGGTTTTTATTTGTGTTTATTGTAATTGGTTTAATATTTCTATTATCTGTAAATGGCTTTGAGTTATTTCTATGAGTAAAGCAACTAATAAATACAAATAATAAAAGCAGCAGCAACATGATGTGACAGAGTTTACCATGTGAGGCCTACTATTTATATCACAAAATAGTGGAAGAAAAAAACATGAACTTAAAACATGTTTCCCATTCTCTTCCTGATGCTCATAATGTTCCTCCCATGTTCCACAGTTGGGGATTCAACACATGAAGTGACTGACATTTTAAATATGAAACCTGAAGTAATTTTCTAAAGCTATTGCATTGCACTAATACAAATTATTTTCATCATGTTATTCCCAATGAGGCTTGCTAGATCTACTTAACAGCTCACTTATGCCAAGTCTTCCAGTTTGGCCTCATACCAAATCATAAACTCCAGCAAATATTAGGTAACTGGATCAACTCTATGGTGGCCTCTATTCCTATAAGGGCAGGAACATAACCTTCCAGAATTGAAGAATGTAAGTCAGAGGCCAACAAATTTACCGGGGGCAGGGATTTACATGTGGAAGGGAAAGCATTTCCTTCTACTGTATAGTTATTTCAAAAATTATTAAATCAGATTAGATAAAATGCATTTTCATTTTAAGTTTGTTAAAATTAAAAACCTATATGTTACATACTACGATATTTAAAACTCACATGAGTGCTTCCAGAAATTACATAAGTGGAAGACTACTCAGGGCATTGCCTCCCCTTTGCTCCCCACTACATACCCCTAAGCCCCCCTAAAGTCTCTCAGAATGTTAGGATACCTTTAGAAAAGGTCTGGAATAAGGCGTGAAGGGGGACTCTTGCACAAGCTGTCTCTTCCTGATTTTCAGAGAGCTGTCCTGCAGGCCTCCTAACTCCTGCACGGTGGCGTACTGTAGGTTGCTAGTGCCCAGGGCCACGCCAAGGGGACGTGGGAGGGAAACGGGCAGAGTAAGCTTGCACATTCAACTGCCTAACAGCATCTGTGCCAACCAGGAGATTGCAGTTGCAGATATAAGAAGAGAAGAGCCAGTCCATTATCTGGAGAGGCCACTTCCTGGTTCGCATCAAGAAGCATGCAGCTGCATTGAAGCAGCACCAGGTGTTGCAATATTGTGCCCCTAACAATTTTGCACCTGGGGAAACTGCCCCTGTGCCCCGCTACTCTGCATGCTACACTACTAATCCTGCAAGAAACCTTTTATGGGACTGGGGGCTTAAATGGGGAGAAAGGGGGCAAGAAACTTCACTAGTGCCCTCCTGAGCGTGGAATTTTTGGACACAACTTGCAATATTTCAAAATTCAAATTTAAAAGAATACAATACAACAGAAAACAAGGATACGCGTGAGGCTTTCTTTTTTAACAAAAGTTTACTTGAATGTGACAGAAACTGATTCAATAGCTGCTATTTTCTTAAAGTTCTCTTTACTAACTTTCCAAATATATGGGGTTCTAAATTTGTATTACAGTGGGACCTTAAGGATCAAACCCCTAAAACAAAATATGATTACTTAAAATCAATTTCCTCCAAGTTCAATGGGAATTACTTCCTCGCATGTAAGCTTGAGAGAATATACATGTTTACTTGAAACTAAGCGCCTCTAAGTTCAATAGAACTTACTCTCCAATAAGTGCTTATAAGATGACAAGCCCAAGAAGCCTTCGGCAGTATCTTCAAAGAACATGCTGGGAATTTAAGAGAGCCAATTCCTGCCAAACATGTTTCAACTACTTTGTTTTAGACTACAGTACAACATTGCT